TAGCAATGGCCTCCAACCTTTTAATTGCAATGGCCTCCAACCTTTTACTAGCAATGGCCTCCAACCTACTAGCGATGGCCTCCAACCTAATAGCAATGGCCTCCAACCTAATAGCAAAGGCCTCCAACCTAATAGCGATGGTCGCCTCCAACCTAGAAGCCATTAGAAAACAGAGCAGATTAGATTAGATGCTCCAGAATGCTCCACAGCAATTTCCACCAAGCTGCTGGTGATGTTGAAGGACCACAACAACATTTGCAGGCAGCACATCGTTTTAAAGCGCTCCTGAAAATATATTAAACCGGCAAATGATAGAGTTTCAGGCTTGTGTCATAGTTGTTCGTCTCATGGCGTTCTCTTTTTGTGCCTGTAGCAATCATGGTGTTGTATCTTTCAGTGCCACGTTGTGTTTGCTGAACATCAGAAAGCACCCGCGTCCAGTCCATGTCCAACTGCGGCCCTCCATTCTCAGCAAAGCTGTCAATGAAAGTTTTCAAAAAAGTATCTCGGTACCTGGGACAGCACAATTAAACGTCCAACATGCAGCATGGCAGCACGTCCAAGAAATATATTACCAGGTTCTGTATCATGTTGGGCATGGCCAACCAACTCTGTTGGCGCAAAAGCCCAAAAGACGACTTGACTCGTCTAAAAGAACTGGTGCCTTTTCCACGCACTTCTGCCAGGTGGCTCCAGAAGGACCTCCGTGGAGGCACCCGAGATACAGCCTGCCACATGGGTTTTCTGAAAGAAAGTCTCTACAAATGGGGAAAAAATCGTCCATTTACGGTCATCTCCTCGGGCGTCGAAATGAGGGTGCTTTGCACACGGGTTTCGCCCATGCTTTGCACACTGGAAGCCCCAGGAAGCCGACCCCTAACTCCTTTGAGGTCTCACGAGGTTCGAAAAGACCTCGTGAGACCTTCGACAAGCCCTTGTGAGACCTCGTGTGTGCGGCGTGGCGTTTTCGCCTCGCTCTGAGGCCTGCACCTTGCATCGCTCCGATCAAGGGACCACAAGCGAGAACACCCCAATCCAAGAGGCCAACCTCCACCTCATTCTGCTCCTCAGCATGCGAAAAGAACTTCAAAAGAAATCCTGAATGACATACATCTTGGGAAGAGCTCGAGCTGCACAGACTCTAAGAAGCGCCGCTTCGGATATAAAGTGTTAAATTGAACCTTGGGCGATAACCAAGGTCCGTCAAGCCATCTGAGCTCCTGACATTTCGCCAGAAAAAGGCCTCAAACCGTCATTCCCATCAATTGTTCAGAGGTCCAACTTCTGTGTGTGTGTGTGTGTCAAAACATCTACGCAGAACTGTTGGCAATCAAGAAAACATGTCCAACACTGCTGGCAGGAGGGCGTTGTCAATTTGAAGATTGTTGTGGGTGAGGCCGACATAGTCGTGCGGATTGCTGGCGCCGGCTCCACAACAATAGCCTGGCTGTTCGCGCGTCGCGTTTCTTCGCGCGCGTGATTTTTAAGGGTGCTTCTGAGCCGGGCAGAGGCAGGTCAGTGGGAAAACAGCGGCCAAAAAGGAGGTCGTTGAACAGGGGCATCTCGCTGCAAAAAGGATGACTTCGGCGAGGACCCCGGCATTTCCTGATCTTCGATGTCTAAGCTCCTGGCACATGATCTCGTTGCTATACTCCTCAAATGTGTAAAGCTGATGCCATTGGGCTTCCCAAATCAAATTCACAAAACTTGCGAAACGTCCATGGGTCACAAAAATGTCTTTTGCTGTACAGTGTGGGCCAACTGTGATTCAAACGCAGAACTTCCGACTCTCTTGTTGCCAATCAATCTCAATCACAGCTTGATGTGCTCTGCGGTATGGGCCAGTTGTCATTGATCCAAGCATCTGCAACATCTTGGATTTCAACCTTCCACTGCTGCAGGAATGCTGGATCTGTGATCTCGTCCGGCATGACGGCTTTCGCCGTCTCACCCACCTGGGAAGAGCGTTTGCAGCGGCGGTGGAACGAGCTGCTAGGCTGCAAGTGAGGCAAAGCGCAGCTCCAAACGGAGGCAGTGGAAGTAACAACCCAATAAAACAGCTCGAAGGACGCACTTCATCCAGGTGGCAAAGCGAACAAACCTCAGGCTTTTCTTCAAGAAAGTGTCAAGTCAGGTCTGCGTGAAATCGCATCAGGTGCTTGAAAAAAGAATACAATTCACACGTGGATGGAGCAAAAATGGCGCTGTATCGGGCTGTTTACCCCACACGTCCAGTCGATTCAGACTGGACCAGCTGAGGAACTGATCGATCTTGGCCGCATTTTGCTTCTTGGTCAAAGCATCCAATGAGGGAAGGGGAGGAATGGCGGGAATCGGATCCGGCATGGGAAACATCTCCTCAGTGAGGTCACGGGCCAGGTGGGGGCAGCGGTGCCGAAAGCAAGCATAAGAACTACATCTTCAGATCTCCTGAGTGCCTCAGTTGCTGTTTAAAGTACCACATGATGCTTCATCTCATTTGCCTGCTCTGCTCCTGAGCCTTTAGGATCTTCTCTGTTGAAGCACTGTGCGAAAATCACTCTTCTTGCTTCAAGTCTCATCAATGCTTTTGTGGAGACGCTTCTGTTTGTGGTAACCAGCCATCTTGCCCAAAGCGCGGCAACACGCCATGTAATACCTCAAAGACACGTCCCCTGGGGGTGATGTGTGCGGTCAATCATTCAATCATGTTACATTACTAGTAGGAGCGATGCACTTGTTTCTAATAGCTTCTTGTTACTACTAGTAAGGCACTTGCTCCTAGTAGCGCCCTTTGCTCCTAGTAGCATCCTTGCTCCTAGTTCTGCCAAAAGTGGACCTGGTTCCAGTCGCAAGAGGACAAAAACCGGCCGTGCGCAAATCCATTCAGTGTCAGTTGCATGGGCCACCATCAGGCAACTCCCAGTCCTGACTCTCCAGTCTCTCTAAGCTTTGCTGCCATCCTTTCGGCCATACTGTCAGTCGGTGACCGGTCACCAGTCAGTTCAGTCGGTCGTCTGTCCTTGTATTTGTCGTAGGCTGGCTCGATCTCTCCAGGGGAAAAGACCTTCTTGCCTCCCTCTGCCCAATCGATCGTCTCTGTGATCAAGATGAAGTTCGTCGTGGTAGCACTGATGTCCTCAGGAGTGAAGCGAATTGTCGTCGGTCGTCCGGCAGCGGTCGTTTGGCAGTGATCTGACGGCAGTTGCGATGGAAGAAGATCCGGTGGCTTGGGCTCAAAGTGTTAGAACTAGCATCCTACAACCATTTGAGCTAGTTCTAACACTTTGATGCTAGAACTAGTGGAAGTTCTACCAAGCAGTGGAAGTGTTAGAACAACGGGAGATCTGTCAAAACAGAACTTTCCAACGGCCGCCTATTAGGCCGGTCCCTGGCGAAACGATGACCAACTGTTCAGTGGTGGAGAACGGGGGGGGTGCCCAGGGGTACCCTGCAGACTCCCTGGATGTATATGAATATTAATCTGCTACAGTATATCTTCACATACATTGAAATGAATCCAGGGACGCATGCCATAGGTGGATTAATATAATAGCAAGAAAATGCAAGAAATTAATCAAGGATTTAAAAATCGTCCAGGTACTCCACCGACAACTAGTGACAAATGGTCGCCTGTCGACGGATGCACATGTTCCTGACCCAGCGGATTGTTCAACTGCGGTCTCTAGGTATTGGGTATCCTCCCTTCAGCGGTCTCTGGTTCTGGTATCCCACATCTCAGCAATGCAGGATTCACTTGCTGGCTTCACTTGACCACCCAGTCTGGCACACCCCTAAGCAATCCTCTCAAAACCCTCTCAAACCATCAGACAACCACTTCTTCGCTGAAGCGACCCATGGCGACCGACCACCACCGGAGGTCGGCCGGACCCCACCAGCTCGGGGCGCTCCGAAGTAGAACTTGGGGACTCGGAAGGGCACGGAGTCCTGGCGACTCCAGGGATCAACGGCCGGGTCCGTGCTGGCTCGGCAGGCTCCGCTCGGCCAGAAAGCGTGCGAACGGAACGCCGCATCGAAAGCGAACAGAAGCCAGAAGCTTAGAGTAGCTCTACGGACTTGCCAAATGGCCGTGGCGGCGACGCTCCGCTCGGCCCCCTCTTCGCCCGGCCACGTCGACGAGCCGGTCGGTCCGTCGTCTGTCCCGGTCGGTCCGGTGGACGTGGTCGGTCCGTCGTGGTCCGTCCCATGGGTGGTTTTGGAAGCGGCGTCCCATGGGACAGAGATGTCTTGGTCACCTTCATCCCTCATCGAAGTGCTGGGGTTTGGGGCAAGTATTTTGGGGGGGAAGGACCCCTTTAGTTTTAGTATTTTCTGGGAGAAATGTCGATGTGGCTGCAACTAAATGATCTTGAATCACCAAGAATATAAGAAGTTGACACTTACCGCTGCTCGTTTTCACTGCAAAAAAGCATCTGACGGATTCTGAAAGAAAAACATCCCCAAAAGATCTGCCTGCAAGAAAATGTTGAACACGATCTCCGGCCTGCAGTAGCGGGCACGGGCGATATTCATGCAAGAGAGCTTGTAAGATGCACGTGCCGTCTTTTTGCCTGCTAAACGTATATTATATTATATAATATTTATGTTATTTTATATTGTTACTATCTCACTTCTCCGTCCCACTCTAAGAAGTCATGCAATAGTTTCAACCTTGAACTCTGAAACTTCAACTCTATCTGCTTCAGATTGATGTTCAACCTTCCAACATCCAAGACTCCACCAGATCCACCAGCCTGTCGTGGTTCCACATGCACGAGACAAAGTATCTGTCGGAGCCGCCAGGTTTGTGTGGCAGCTTGGCAAAGAGTTTCTTGTGCAAATAGGCTTCGTCCTTCTTGTACTCCACCTGGAGAGGGAGAAGGGCGAGGCTCGGACGAGGTCGTCACAACACACGAGGTTTCTCTTCACATGTTTCAACAGCGACAGTCGGAGCGCGACGCGTTCGTCGTAGGAGTCGCGACGGCGACGTCGACCGTCGTCGCGATCCAGGAGGCGCTCGCGACGTGGGTGGCGACAGATCATCATCTCTGAGTGGCTGTAAAGGTGCATTTCAAGCCAGCACCACCGCCCACGAACTCCTTCGCGTCCTCAGAAGTGGCAAACATGTTTGGCGAAAAAGGGTATATGTATGAGACCCCCAAATAGATAGAAAAGTAGATCCCCACCTAAAGTGTTCTGGAAGTCGTTTCTATCTGTTCGGGGACAACTATATATATAATACATATATATATATTATTCATATATATATATATAATATAATCATATATACGTGTTCAAGGCGGGTTCTCATGGCGAAGCTTCAATGGAGATTCGACAATTCGGGAAGCCGAGAAAGGGTCACATGCAGAAAGACTTCTGTCTGGAACATCCAGTTTGGCACGTTGATGCCACTTAGTCACAGTCCGACCTACCAGCGATGGCCTCCACCCTAGTAGCGATGGCCTCCCTGATCAATCTTAATCCCTTTTTTCATATCCAAAACGAACTGCGAAAGCCAGCTGCCTGTGTTTCAGCACTCTCACAGCTAAGATGCCGTGATTTTGGTGACCGCGTTGTCTCGTGGCAGCACGCCACTCTTGTGGAAGGCCTGGTGTACCAAGGGGTGACTCACGGTGATCGCACGTCTGAGGGACATAACTTTGTGCCAACGAAAAGGTTAAAACGATCCTTGCCTTCGCCAAATTAAACAAGAAAACACACACACTCTAAGTATAATCCATAATGAATTTAATAGATATATATATATATACACCAAGGCTGTGAACATGCACATCTGAGATACTTGCATGTATGTGTCAGCCCTTACTGCTCCTGTTGCATTCAGAACATGCACTTCTGTACAAGTGTGCAAGTGGTTTCTTGAAGATGTTCAGCAGAGATATTATGAGCGATTCCTATCAAGGGCCCAGAACCCGGCATAAGCGCTGCCCTTTTCCGTAAGCCATGAGAAGCAACCAGCAAGTTTCACGACAGGCAGAGGGCCAAGCAGATCAGCTGAAGTCGCACTAATTGTGCATCACAATTGGTTTGGAATGACACGTTCAGGCGAGACTAGAAAAAATCACACAAACATACTGAGTTACTGTAGTTAGTATGCACGAGAATATGCCAAACAAACAAACAAACACCCTTCATCTCCACCAGAAAAATCTCTTTCGGCTCGTCGTTCGCAACGCCAACAAGTTCGGAAAAACGAGACCACGTGGCGTCGCGTTGGGCGACGCGTCAAACAGTGCGTTTACCCGCCCGGCGTCGCCTGCGTCAGCCATTCAGGACCCATCTCGACAAGCATGTCCTGCAGGCTCTCGAGCCGAATCGATGCGACCAAGCTGAAGAAGTGCTCGCACCCTGGACCCTGTTGAAGCTCCCCGTCCTTTGTGTATGGAAACTTCATGCCATAATAGTCACCTGGATCATTCTTGCTCGCAATCTCTTTCATCTGAGCATATTCAATCCTCAGCTTGACATCGAAATTCCCTTGCGTTTCTATCACCAGCGCATACTTTCAGAGCGACGTCCAGCTGCAACTGCGTTGCTGTGGCTGCTTCACCACCTTCCACTTTGGAGGACGTCTTTTCGGCCCAAACCTGATGAATCGAAGATCATCGAAGCTCATCGAAGAGCGACGAAGCATGCCCATGGGGGTCTTCTGAAGGCCCAACGTTCTTTGGGGGAATCCACCAAAGACCCAAGATAGCAATTTTGGGGACGGGTAGGGAGGATGATATACTCTCCAAAACCTCAACTGAAATAGGATCCTACGGGGTAGATCAGGGTAAGTGCATATGGTGGGGCGGGCGAAAAATGCCGTGAAAAACCTCTCTATCACAGAGTTTCACCACCCGGAGACATCGATGCATCACTGGACATCGACATCGGTGTCGCCCGACTCGGTCACCAAAGCAGGTCCGGAGGGGAATGTGTCATCTCCAAGCGTCAACTGGCGACGTCCGTCTGACAAACATCCGGCAAGAAAACAAGTGAAGAGCTGGGAGGTCGTTGTGGGCAATCATACAACCATAGAACGCTGCGTGAATATAGTAAGATGGTGTAAGCAAACTGTATCATATACAACTCATCCATTCACCACTACAAGTCGCTCATATGCCTCGTCGCTCTCCGCTCACCCTCTCGCCGTCCGAGGCGCTCGCCGATCTCGACCCAGGGCACCAGCAGATCCTTGCCGGTCAGCTTCACGCTCACCCAGCCTTCCTCCGGACCGGTGCCCTTCCTCGTGGCCAACGGACGACTCCGGCGCCGGAGAGGACGGGAACGGAGGCGACGGACGTGAGACGAGACGAGGGCGTTGCTGGGTCCGGAGACTGTCACAGAACAACTCCCCAGAGGAGAGGCACCATGAAGGCTGAGGATGGACGCACTGACCAAGGGAACAGTCGAAACGTTTGAGAGCCATTGTAACAGCAGAAGATTTGCGGCGCGGCATAGCCGTAGAGTTGGGCGTAGCTTACGGTTAAGGACATCAGAGTTCTGAATGAAAGGCAAACAGCGGATCCCAGATCCTTGTTGAATCTATTCAAAATCAATAAGCTAGCAAAGTATAATATTCATGTTCATGAGCCCGAAAGTGAGTGCAAATGGATCTGCAGCCGTGTTGAGGTCATCTACGACCACAAAAAGACAGTTGCCATATAGGTCACATATATCATGTCCGCAATCTGTGACATCCGGCGCTCACATGACGCTTGCATGTCTTGCTGGGGATTTGTGTGTTTTTCAAGAGTGTTGTGGAGGGGGCGGGGGTCACTTAAAATATCTACAAAATGTGCCTAAGCTCCGGAAAAACCATGAATGTGTGGGTGATGCATCCCAATACTTCCGAAATAAGTATAGGAGCTCTGCACACCAAAGAGTATCTTCTCCAAGCTTCTTGAGTTTGTAATGAAGCCGATCTCCTTTGAGTTCCAACTCCTCGACCAAAGCCCCGGTAGAGAGCCGGTCGGTCTTCTGTGTGGAGGAGGTGCTTTCACCTACACAGAACAGGTTCCATGCAAAATCGATTGGAAACTTGATGAAACTTGCCATTTATATGATGTTAGAAGTAGAATTCATGTATATTCATGTAACTCATTTCCATTGCTTTTCTCGTCGGATTGATTTGCTTCAACAGCCTGTCCAGCATCTAATGTCCCAGTGTTGGCCAACGGTGGTCGCTGTCCCGCCGCAAAACCGACCGAACAGTGGCGTCTTCGGCGTCGTTGGCGTCGTGCCTTCTCGAACCATGATGCCTCCTTTGTCAACCTCAATGTTCAAAGCTCAAAGCCCAACTCTAGAGACGCTAAACATAGAAACCAAACGATGGTCGGTCGCTAATCTGTACAACAGGAGGCGATCCTGAGAGACTCCATGTCTACTAACCGGTCGATGCATCAGTTGATGCCATGACCCACAGATGACATGGGTGTGTAGCTCAAGACAGATCTCCCAGGCGTTCCGACCCGGGAGAAGGGATTTTTTTGACACCAAACCCATTGGTTGGCCTGTGCTTCTCACGCTTCATGCTGGGGAAGTCCTAGCCAGCTCTTACAAAAACAAGCTGAGACACGCAAAACCCATTGGTTGGGGCCCCTCCCTTTCCGACCGTTCGTCGGTCTTCCACCGTTCGAGCTCGCTCCGTTTTTGCGCCGTGGCTTCGACCGTTTGTGGGTGACCAAGGCACTCCACCGATGACTTCCCACAGTGCCAGGTCCTAAGGGTAGACCGGCACGGTGAAGAGTTTGACCCAACAAGCATCTAGGTAGACCTAAACAAGCATCTAGGTGTTGGATGACTTCAACACAAGCATCTAGGTAGACCTAAAACCTGGATCTCTATTTTGCACCCAACATATTTGTTTTTCCTATCACAGGGGTCATGTCTAGGCTCTAGGTGATATCTGGGTCGGGTGAATTACAACAATTTCGTGGGTCGTGGGCAATTGTCGTCAGGAAATATGGGGCAAACATATTGCGAGGCAGAAATCGACGGTGAGGGAGTGACGGAACTGGTCCAAGTTTGGCAGAACTGCTCAGAACTGCCAGAAACTGCTGTCCTCGGCTTCACCATTCGCACCATTCACACCATTTGCTTTCGTACCATTCGGCACGGCAGGTGCGGCGGCGGCCGCCGCTCCGGCCGCCGCTTCGGCGCGCTCGGCGGCGATGCGCTCGGAAGCCTAGAAGGCAACGCAGCTAGGGAGTGTGCCTAAGTCATGAAGCTTTCATCAGTCATATTCCTCCTTGGGCACAGTATTCTATTCTAAATTTGTATGTATTTATTTGTTCTTTGAATGTTGTTTCTTAGTTATGTACTGGCAGAACGTCCACAACTCCTATGTCATCATGCTGTGTACTACATTCATTTGGCAACCTTGTCTACTGAGGTTGGTTGGGCGGAGCTTAGCCATTCGGTGCCCAAGAAAACCTGGAGAAAGCCTCTTGGTGGAAGGTTCTTTTTTCCTAATCAAAAAGAAATTACTGGGAGAAGAAGAGGTTCAGGTATGTTCAGGTCAGGTGGAGGAAAGTCTTGAGGAACCCGTCCGAGTTGGACCGGTGGCAAGCCAAAGCGGCCTCTCTTCGGGCGGCAGCCAGCTTTTCCTGCGCCCCGCCACATCATCGGTGTGTGTGCTGTATTTCGTCACGTAGCATGTAGTCATGATGTAATCTTCCAAATATGGAAGGCCTTTTTGCTCACTGATTCTCACTGCTTCGTCGCAGTGGCATGGAGATCTCCCGCGGTTTTCGCGCGCATGCGCGAGGTGCGGCCTTCTCAGCTGCACGTTTCTCCTCGTCTTCTTTCCGCTTTACGTCCTCCTCCTGTTTGGCGACCTCTTCCTCCTGGTCCTGAAAGAAGAGAAGCATTTTGAAAAAACAAAAACAGGCAACCTAATAGCGATGGCCTCCAACCTACTAACGATGGCCTCCAACCTACTAACGATG